GAGGAAGAACTTCTTCCCTCTGAGGGTGATGGAGCCCTGGCCCAGGCTGCCCAGGGAGGTTGTGGAGTCTCCTTCTCTGGAGATATTCCAGCCCCAGCTGGACGCGGTGCTGTGCAGCCTGCTCTGGGTGATCCTGCTTGGGCAGGGGGTTGGGCTGGGTGACCCGCAGAGGGCCCTTCCAACCCTGACCATTCTGTGATTCTGTGATTCTGTACCAGCTGCATGAGCTCGTTATTCTTACCTGGGGTGGGGGGGATCAAAGGTGGTGGAACCTGCGTGGGTTGTTCGCTCGATGTGAAGTTGAGGGCGTAGAGATCAGGGAGCTGCTCTGTCCCACTCATATCTTGGTGATGGAGCTTAAAGCACTCGGGGAAGGGACAGATGATTTTCTCCCGTGGATTCGGGGAGCGTCTCAGACCAGTCTCCGCTGTGTGTGCTTGTTCTCACCAGCCCTTATCACAGCCGATAACAACTTGTTTTTTCATTCATGCTGCAGCATCCTCCTGGATGAAGAAGGGCACATCAAGCTCACAGGTAAGGCCCTCCACAAAAGCCTTCGTGTGCTCCAGCAAGCTTGGTTCTTGAAATACAGCGCTCCTCTTAGGCCTCCCTGCCCAAGAGATTGTTCAGAGCATGTGGGCACACGCTGACAGTTTTTTCTCTTACACAGATTTTGGCTTGAGTAAGGAGGCCATAGACCACGAGAAGAAAGCCTATTCCTTCTGCGGGACGGTGGAATACATGGCCCCAGAAGTTGTGAATCGCCAGGGCCACTCGCACAGTGCTGACTGGTGGTCCTATGGGGTGTTAATGGTGCGTACCCGGCGAGCGTGGCTGGGGACCTGCCTCGGCGGCTGCTCCGCGGCGGCTCGGAAACACCCTCGCCCCGGGGGTCTCCGTGTCCCCCCCAGCGCTGGGACCTCGGGCTCTGCAGATCTGGTGCCACCATCTGGTGGTCGCTGAGTCCGAGGGCTCCCGCAGGAGCAGGCGCCAGTCCCAACGTATTCCCACCACAGAGCGGGCGAGCCGAGCGCCTTCTGGGAAAACACGACGTCTGCCATCTTTTTTGGAGCTGGGCTTCTGATCCCTTGCAAGCTTTTCGCTGCCTTCGGCGAGGATCGGGGGAACTCTGCAACCCTCGGACTTGCTCAGACGTGACCTCCCCTTCTTCTCTTCCCCCCCAGTTTGAAATGCTCACCGGCTCGCTGCCCTTCCAGGGGAAGGATCGTAAGGACACGATGACCCTCATCCTCAAGTAAGAGAAGTTTCTCTTACATATATGCTTAGGAGGCAAGCTTCTGCTCTTTCTTCGTGTTGCAATTTTGAGGGTTCTCGCAATTTAATGGCTTTATTTGGCAAGTTTGTATCAACAGTTAGTTTGAAGGGTGCAGCGTAAATGCCAAACAGATAATTGTACTTTTGGGGGTGGAGGTGCTGCAGTCGGCTTGTGGGTTGACTTCTTGAAACCTGCAACTGATTGCACAACTTCCTCTCCAGAGCGAAGCTGGGCATGCCGCAGTTCCTGAGCTCTGAAGCACAGAGCCTCCTGCGAGCCCTCTTCAAAAGGAATCCAGCCAACCGATTAGGTAAGATATTTTTTCTGGTTTCTGAGTACACCTGATGCCGTACCGGGGCCTCTCACATCCTCGTGGGTCAGCAGCATGTCCACACTTGCGCTCGGTTAATGGGCTCGTTTAATTACGGCTAGGTTCCCGTAATACCGCGTACGTGGTAGTAGCCTTCGCTTTGTCGGTGGTTTAATGCAGCGCTCTCCACGGGTGCATCTTTCAGGTTCTGGACCAGATGGGGCAGAAGAGATCAAGCGCCATCCTTTCTATTCCACCATTGACTGGAACGTGAGTATCAGAAACAGAAGAGCAAACTTCTTCACCGCTCAGCACCAGTAATGGAGTTGTGCTGCCTGCAGTACCAGCACGGTCGTGATGCTTGACCAGCTATGGGAGAGCTACCAGTCCCTCCTTCCATCTTTTCCAAATAATCCTTCCCAAAATTATAATTCTGTTTGTCATGTGAATAGCTGTTTCACCTCTGAGTTGCCCATGGTCCCACCTTGGTTTGAATTCACTCCTCTCTCCACAGTAAGCTGCAGGTTTTCATTGTGGTTTGGCACAACACAGATTGTCTTGCACAAAGTGGGAAACATTTCTGGCAAGGAAATACCTTGTTTTGTACAGAGAAGCAGGGCGAGAACTGAACCAACATTTCTCAATTGCTTCTGGCCAACTCCCTACTTTACCACATAATTTTGTTTCTTCCCTGTTTTCCCTTACCTGGTAAGAGATTTTGGAGATCTGTCTTCTAATGCTTTCGAGGGACCCAGCAAGCTGCTAGACTGAACCTCCAGCAATGCTAGTAAAGCTTATTTCCATTTCTTACTTCAAGAAGCAATTTAAAAAGGCTGCTTGTGGGAGTGCTGGGATACGAACGCCCTCCTGGGGCATCTCCTCTGGCTGTCCCAGGAGAGAGATACGTGTCAGCAAAGCCCTAATGTGAGTTAGGAGGAGGTGGAAGGACCTGGCAAGGTCAATACTTTGTGGATACTGCCTCTGGAGTGGGGCCAAGTTACATACAGAACACCTTTTTTTCTTGATTTAATACGTGGTAGAACTTGCAGTATTTCTCCACAACCTGACTCAAAAGCACCCCAACGGCCGAGAAGTCTTCCCTCAGGCTGCTGAGCTGTAGTTAAATGCTAAGCCACAGAGCAGTTTTCTTGTTTCGCAAAATCTCTTCTTGGCCTCTTGCTCCTAGCAAGCCTGTGCGCCCGGCGAGTACGAGAGCGCTGACCTGTCGGAGCACTTTCGAGCTGTCTTTGTTTTGCAGAAGCTGTACCGCAGGGAGATCAAACCGCCCTTCAAGCCTGCAGTGGGCCAGCCAGATGACACCTTTTATTTTGACACAGAATTTACATCGCGTACACCTAAAGGTTCGTCTGAATTCACGCAGAGCCAAAGTTTCCTGTCTGAACTGATACTGCGCGGCTGAACGCTGGCGTGCGGTGCCAGCAGGGCAAGGTTTGCCTCTGGCCACTGCTGCCAGCTCCAGGTGGTTGCAGCAGCGGGGAGGTGGCCCAGCCAGAGATACGTGGGGTGTTACGGGGTGAGATCAGCGCCGCGTGGTGTGGTTCTTCTCACGAATAACCTAAAGAGGAGCCGTAGCTCCTGGGGAGCAAGGGAAGGCTTCTGCTTCCGCAGAAGAAGAGTCACAGAATCACAGAAGAAGGAGGAGGAGGAGGCTAGCCCTCTTGAAGTTGTCTCTCAACCCCTGTTGCAGATTCCCCAGGCATCCCCCCTAGTGCGGGGGCCCATCAGCTCTTCCG